AAAAATATACTTTACTTTTATCTTTAACCGTCTTTTCTTCTGTCTTTTGAGGAATACTCCAAAGTTAGAGCTCGACACCATCACATAGAAAACAAGCTGGTTTGGTTGAGTTAAGTTGGTTCCAAATTGCATCTTATCTGGTGCCACCGTGCCAGTGAACTTTCAATTCAGATTAATCAATCTACAGGGAAAATGGTTTGCTTGATCCGTTTTGCTCTTTAATAAAAACATTAGTTTACACATTCCAAGTTAGACCTCAAAAAGTAGAAATGTTGGAGAATAATGTCACAACGCATGGTTTAGCCAAAAGAAAAGGGGGAAAAGAGGGAAAAAAAAAGGAATATTTGCGCCACACATAGGATTGGAAAAGCTAGTTCTATAACATAATGATTAGGTTTGTGGAATAATGATGGTAATGATATGCTTAAACAGTGTAAAGTGGTGCGATTGAGGGTTTTGCAGTCAAATTAAAGGTGGAAAGAATCAATCAAAAACAGATAATCCAAACTAACATAACCTGCCTTTTTCCTTCATTTTGTGACCATGATTTTTCCATCACTCCAAGCTGCAATGATGAACTGTTGCCCAAAACGGCCTCTTAAATTTAAAAATCCTTGGTTGGCTCAGCTGCACTTTTGTGCATTGCCTTCAAAATTCAACCAATCTAACCAGCTGTCGTCTTGTGCTTTAAAGTTTCAAAGAAATACGAAAGTTTAACAGGCAAACAAGAGCAAAGAATGGTAAAGTGGGCAATTAAAAATTTCACAGGTTTATCTCCATGTGCCCTAATGATGGTGATGTGTTTATATTCTATTGTAAATGCTTTCAATCCGTACCAAATCTCTGTTTTAAAACTAGGAATGAAAAGAAGAATGAAAATTAGATAATTAAAAAAAAATGCAAATGGACATTTCAAGCATTTTGTATTAGAAGTACAGGCAGAATTCCGGTTGCACCAACCTTTGAACACAAATGTAATATCATTTATGAGGTACTGGGGAGCAATTGAATTTATTTATTGAATTAAAGGCAAAAGGTTAAAAACAAATCATCGGATAAAAATTTAATAATTATTTAAGTTTTTAATATTTTATTATAATCAATTAAATGTTAAATTTTTTATTTCGGATCAATTAAATCCTTAAATATTTTTTTCACTCTAATTGAATTCACGATTGGATAAAAATAGATATTAATAATTAATCAATTTTAATCTAATAAAAACTCAATAGATAAAAATATAAGCTTGAGATTTTAATTGATTGTAATAAAATAATAAAAGCTTGGATGATTATTAAGCTTTTATTTGAGGGTTTTTTTTATCCTTTATCTTGTGTTAATATTAAGAATCATCCTTAAACTAAGTAAAATATTTAATTTTATATTTGAACTTTAAAAATCTTTAATTTAATATTTAAATTATAAATTAATTAAATAATATGGTTTCATAGTTTATGCTCCACATAAAAAATTTTTAAAATTAAATATCATATTAAATATTTTATTATAATTTATGGGTTATTCGTATCATTACTCTTATTAGATAATTCATGATCATTATGCATCGTTTTAATTTTATCAGATGTACATACAATTAAGTTGATGATAGTTCACATTTAGCAAAGGGTCCTTAACCAATGTAGCATGCAGCCTAGTAATTATAACTGGTACAAAAATCATAGTGTACACTACTGACTGCTATAACTTCAATTTTGCTTCTTCTTACAGCCTGATGTAATCAATTACCATAAGGGAAATGGGCAAAAGAAAATTAAAGAGAGATCAGAGGTAGACGATTAGTCTACAATGCCATGCTTTTGTAAGTCATTTATATCTTCCTGTAGGAAAAAGAAGGAGCAAGCAGAAATGCATATAATGCTAGCTTTACAGAAAGTCTAGCCATGTCGATTACATAGGAGACCCTCAAGAAATCCTGCAATCATAATTCATGGCCACTTTCCTTTATCCTTTTTTAATTATTTGAAGGCGATTTAGAGTGGAAAAGGTGAAAAAAAAAGGAGAGCTGTAGGATTGGCCACGGCCTATGATATGATGCAATAATGGCTCTAATCCTACTTCACATTAATACATATGCATAATTTTCTACATTAGCAAAAGAGAAAAAAAAACGAAAAAGCTTGTCTCATTTATGACAATGATAATGACAATGATATTGAGGTTAAAATTGGAGCCTATTTTTGTTCAGACTTCTGAGTTCTTGGTTTTGCATTGCAAGTTTGTGATATAATGATATATACATTCATGATTACTGGTGACCGCTCGAGTACTTGTTTCAAGTCTGATAGGGGCTAACAATTTTGTATGTGTATCACCATTTCATGTACAGGCAGCCGATGGTCTTTGATCTCAGGCAGTACTGAAGCTTAATAGCCTGATCACTCCCTAGAGCTACTGATTAATGGAAATTCTTCTTGTTTCCTTTGAAATTGAAAATCATGGGATAACTAAACTATTTCAAGGAGTTTCCTGACATATATTTCTAAATGGCAGTAGTCATCATTCTGCATTTATTGTTCATCAAGAAGGAACGTTTCTTATTTGATTTACTTGCTAAAGTATGCCACCCTGATAGTTTGAATAGTATTTAAACATGGAAATTTTCGTATTCTCTAGCATAGTGGTCGTTTTCAAGCATTGTTTTTCCAAGGAAAGAGAGAATCGTGTTTAAGTTTATCAAGTGAATACTAAATTTCCAAGAAAATTTCCTCACACCAGGTCAATGATAAGGGACATCAGTCAAAAGTACTAATGGCAAACTTTAGTCAATGCTGAAAATTTGGCCACTCTTAACTAAAGCTGATCATAACTTAATTTAATTTATTATAGCACCATCGAATTAAGTTAGTTAGGTAATTTTAAAATATGATATTTAATAAATTTAAAATTTAAATTTTAATATTTTAAAATTAATGGCATTTAATTCGCACCAAATTCTTGCTTGACTAACGATTACGTTCACTAGACTAGGCTTAGCCTTTACTTTCATCAAATATTTCACGATCAATTTACTTGGTTTGGCGTCGAATACAATCTTTTGACTGAATTTCTTGGGTAACTTTCTTAAAAAATATTGAACTTCAAAGATTGGGTATGGATGTTCTTCTCGGAGGAGGGAGAAAGAAAGAAAAAAAGATATGGGAACTTAAAAAAAAAAAAAAAAAACCAGTCAAAAGCAGTTATATGATGCAAAATTGGAGAAATCAAAGAGAAACAAGACATGAATTGAAATACCCTGACCCAGTTAACATCATTTTCCTTTTTCTTAGGAAAAAAAAAGAAATTCGAACATTAATTTTTAAATACATATAATCAATAAATAAAGTACAATTCATAGTGACAATATATAAATTATGAATCAACGGTGCCAATTATGTAGCAGTTAGAAAAAAAAAAAAGGGAAATTTCATTTTTGGTAATGATCAGTGTCAATTAGATCAATTTTGTTTTGTTATAGAAATTAAATCATAAATTGTGTATATTTTGCTCTCACGGTGGTTGACTCAAGGCACTAAATTTTGACTAAGGGGCGGCCCAAACGTGTTTGACGTGTAAACCAAAAAAAGAATGCAGTTGTACGCCACGTGGTAGATGTTAATGTATATTTAATGTTACCTAACTGAGTGGGCTGATTTCTTTGACTTCACGAGTGGAGAATGGACCAAATCAACGTTGAAAGAGATCAATCAGTGCACTTGCATTAAAAAATAAAGATAAGTTAATGTCATACTTTGACTCTTATAGAGTCGATTGTCTAACATGATACAATTTTAAAAATTGTTTAATGTGTTTTTTTATATTATGATTTTGTTCATTAATATGTTACCTGTTCTTAATGCTGTTAACTGATATTGATAATCATTTTCTAATTGAAAGATTATACATGACATATTATTATGTTATTTTAAAAAAATTTATCAACAAATCTATATAATCCCGAGTATATTGATAGCTTGACAGTTGTCTTTTACGGTGGGCTGCTTCATGGATTTTCTTCACCGTTGTGTTATTTCATTCTAAGCCTTATGAGCGTGGGCTGTTAAATTTTGAGTTTAATTTTTTTTTTTTTTTAATATTTGGAAGTTTCTGTTATTTTTAAGAGAACTTACGGTTATTTTGACAGTTTTACTTTTCATTCTTTGATGAAAGTCGATGGTCATTCTCTCTTGGTAAATAATTGTATTTATATTATTTACATATAATATAATAAAATATACATTTAAAATTTTTATTAACAATCTTTTATCACATTATTTCTATAATATATTTCAAATTATTTCCATAAGCTTTTGTTAGATAAATATTTTTTTATCACTCCTATTAGATCCTAAAAAAAAATAAATTCTGGACCGCAAACTGTAACATCAAAAACAAATTATTCTAAAGAGAATGAAAAAATTTGTCATTGATAATCAATTAAAAATAAGTCATTACTGTTTATTTGTTATTATAGCACATATTTTTAAAGTTATTATTTATCTTGACTATAAATAAATTTATTAATAATAAGATGTAGCTACAAACTAAGTGTTTCATTATAATTTCTGTTCAGCAACTGCTCCTTTAGGAATTTTATAATTTTAACATATACATATAATATTTTTTATTTAGTTTTGCAGTAATTTTCTTTTGTCAATTATTTTAACAGAAGATTGTGCGCTTAACAATATTAATTTTATATTAAATTATTTTAAATTTTAATTCAATTAAATATTAATTAAATAAAATACTAAAAATTAATTTAATACATTAGACGAAACCAAGATTTAACACTAGTATCTATTAAAATGTACACGTAACATCTATTGTCAGTGACGTTTATCCAAATAAAAATAAAAGTCAAGAGGCAAAAGTGATCTACTAAAGTTTTTAATTCTTGAGTTTGATAAAAATTTTCTAGCATTTAGTTTAATTTTCTATTTGGTCACAATGTATTAGACCATAAAGGAAGTGGTAAAGCTTCCTTGAACAGACACCATGTTTATTATAGGCTGGGGGGGTTGCAGTAAAAACTTTCATCGTCACAAACGTTTTTTCAGTGTTAATTTGAAGGCTTTACGAGCCAAAATATTTTAAAAGGGTCAAGCAAAAAGAGCAGTATGGTTACTGCATTTACTTTGTTACTTTGTCGACGCTCAACTTTATTAACGGTCGAAGAAGCAGAAACAACGTTCATTTACGGCTCAATTGCTCGCGGATAAGACTGACGGAGAGGGCACGTTTTGAAAGAGCAATCGCCACTTTGTAGACGCTGGGAGAAACAGAAATGATGTTTTCACATTCTATTGCTATTAGTGCCTTGAATTGAGAAGCCAATGCCATGCCACATGACTGCCGGCCAGGTAACATAAGCCCAACAGCATACTGAAGCAGCAGAAAACATCATTCATCAGCAATCCGGTCAGGTTAGGGTTCCTGTGAATCACAACCATCTGGCTAGCCAGGATCTCCATTCTGGTTTTCTTCCTTTTCCAATGGCCCTGAATAAGATACACAACTATCCTCTGCTTAATCACAATCTTTTTCACCCATTTTCCAGTAATAGGGACCACACAGTATCTACTATTTTTCCAAAAGCAACATACTTAACTCCGGTCTTTAAGGGAATACGGAACCTCATTCATGTATTTGCTAATGTTTAGATGGCACTAAATGTCATAATCTTGAGTGAGGTTCTACACTGTCTTTCGAACAAAAACTACATGGAAACTTAAATCCCAAGAACCATACATACAATAATCCGACTCAAACTTTCTAGGTTAATGTCTAAAAAAATTTCACCAAATTTGAAATAAAGGCATAACTTAAACTCCAAAATAAAAGCAAAAGTAGATAGAAGGCATGAATATTACATGTACACGATTGTACTATAGTTGCAAATTTCAAATCACTGGACTTTCTATCAATTAAGAAGAAATTGATAAAATTCCTCAATAGATCACAAACACTTGCAGAGATTAAAGACTTTTAACACAACACAAGCTCCTATTAAGATCAATATTCTACAATAAAAGGGATGTAATGAAAGCTACCATATTGGTTCATTCTTTACGCAGCCATACAGCATACATGCTATGCAATAAATCTGTGACCTGCTATGTCATGTTCTCAGTATCTGCAATGAAATACAATTAAAGTAAATCAATCTAAGGCCATAATCCAGTTTGGTATTTCTAAATGTAACAAAGAGATTATAAAAAACCATGTTGAAGAAATCAATGATCACTTTCTTTCCATCCCATTCTTCTCACACAAAAATCTAAGGCCCAGGGAGCTGATCTCAGTGTTTTTTCTGCTGAAGCACAATTTATTAGCCGCTAGTGCTATAAGACAAACAAAGGCATTTGAATTTAGCTAACTCAAACACACTCTTAATATTGACTCCAGATTTCCAGCTTAAAATATCATACAATCAACACACTAAGACAAACAGCTCAGACAGTCAATTACTTGGCTATACTACAGCACAATTTGTGTCATCTACTCCTTAAGACATCTTTCCATAGTAAGAGAGATTAGAATAAAGACTTTAGTTATAATAAAAAAACACACAAGGGTCATAGTAGCCATCTAGCGGCAAGAGATATTAGAGTAAAGACTTCAACTATAGCCCGTCCAATATCCATATAGAATGTGGTCAAATTAAGTTTCCCCACTCCCCAACCTGGGAGAAGAAAAAAAAAGTTGAATAGTATGCTGAAGCATACCCCTTGAATCAAGAAGAGGCAAGATGCTTGCTTGAGCCACTGTCAATCAGCGAGATCCATTGTACAGGCCAAGTAATGGTTTCTCTCTCTCTTCAACTCTCTTCTTTGCTGCTTCCCTTGCTTTGAGTGCAGCTACCTCTTCTTTAGATATAGCCTTGGGCTTCTCATCTTGTCTTTTCCTCTTAACCGCAAGTGAGGATGGAGCACCTTTAACAGATCTCATGGGATTTAAAGAAGCTGAAATGACAGGCCCAGGTGCAGTCTCCTTTTGACTTTTAATAGCACTTTTGCTATCTGCAACTGGGTCCACCACCGAAGTTGGAAATGGCCTTTTCAAGCTAGGATCTCTTGATTTAGGATTTGATGAAGCTTGAGCCTTGGAGTATGCCTCTTCCCGCGTCACCCACCTGCCTGTTGCATTCCCTCTAAGTAAATATACCACAAGCAACATTTAATCTAATAGATTATCTTACAGAAGAAAGAAAGGACAAAAAATTTTAAAGTACAATTGCGGATCCGTACCTATAGCATCAGAATAGTAAAAGCCTGACTTTGGATCATAGTATAACCCATTGCTTTGATTGTAGTAATAACCTGAACTACTGTCGTAGTCCCAGTCTGCATCAAGCTGTATAAGTTAGAATAGTACTAACCTCAATATAAAAATGATAGATAGACCAAACGACATCATATGCATTTAGATATTAATAATAAAAAAAAATGCCTCATTTGTAAATCAAAGATAAGACATTGGGCCTGATAGAGATTAAGGCCACATATCCATCAGGCCAGCTCCTTGGCATCAACTACCAAGTTAGCAGAAAGAAACAAAAAACTTTCAGCAGGGTTTGCCTGGCAGCTTTTGCAATGCGATAGAAGATTAAACCAAAAATCTAAAGCAAGTTTTGAAAAAAAAGTGGCAAACCACCAAAGACAAAGAAACAGTCAAAATGACCTTGGACCATAATGCAACCAAGGAAAGTAGTTGATTCTTAGGGCTCAGATGTCATGAATCATGTCTACTATTAAAGTATTTCCACAATCAAATGTGTTTAACAATACTCATTCTCATCATTCTAATAAGTGTTTTAAAATTTTGGTTAGACATTCATTTTTCTGCTACACTCCAAACTCAAAAGCTTCAATATTAACCAATGAAATTTAGCAATAGGAATATAGCTGCATGAAGCCAGCCTCGCTGTCATGTAAAAACTCAAGCAGACCTGCTAATCTCAACCTAAATTGGCAGCCTATAACTTAGGTTTTACATTCTCCTATTTAAATGGATTATAATACTGAATTAAATAAATTTCTAACTTCTCAGTAAGTCACTAATGCTTGTGCAGATAAGATGTCTATCATTAACTCAGTTGCTTTAATAGCCATAAGCTGAAAGAAATGACTTTAAGGTCATGTTTGGCGCAGAGGATGATGGATAGGATAATATGATAATCATTCTATATTATGTTTGATTTGTATCTAATTGAAAAGGATAGGATTACAAGGAGGATTACCATCCTCTTGGTATAGGATAATTCAATCCTCCCAAAGTGGAAAGGATTACTTTTAATCCATGAGATTAAACTTACATGTCCTATTATACACTTAAAAATTACATAAATAATTTAAATTATATAAACTTTGAGGAAGGATAATTTTGACCAATAAATAAATTATCCTATCTTAATCCTTGCACACATCAAATATAAGAAAAGATGACATTATTTAATCTAATCCTATTAATAATATCATCTTATCCTATCCTATTATGATGTTGTGTATCAAACATGACCTAAGATTTTACAATTGGGCAGTTAACAACAACCCAAAATTTAAAGGAAAGCTCACTATCCATGGTGCAGATCAACATAATTATATGCTTATTATATTTAAAAAAACTTGTATTACTACCATAACCTGTACTATTTAAAAAAAGGGAAGTTGAAGATGACTTGTAGTTACCTTCTTGACCATCTAATTCTTGATCATTAGAATCTCTTGCCGCAAAACTAGCAACGTCCTTCTGATAACTCCGCTTAGCTTTCTGGCAAACATTGTTAAGTAATACTAATAGTCGTTAAAACAAGAATAAATGAAGCATGAAAAGCAAAACATTATTGAAGGGTTACTTAATACTTACAGTTTCAATCTGTTCGAGAGCGCGAGCAGCTTCCTTTTGTTCCTTCTCTTTGGCTGCGCTCTCTTTTCGCATAGTAGTAAGCCTCTTAGCAACATTTTCTTTGTGCCGTTGACCAAGCTCATGGTTTCGAATACTTGACGGGTTATTCGATATGTAAATTTTGCAGAAATCACACCATTTATTCCCCTGACTCACCCAATACTGAACACATGACAGAAAAAGAAAAAAAAAAGGAATGAATTAGTGCATATATAGCCGAATAACTGGGGAAAAAAAAAGAAAAACCTAATTCATTGAAAATTTTACTGTAAAATAACCAACTTAAACAATGTTACAAAAAATCAAGGGGATTCATCGATAATATCAAGCATTGCTGGAGAAGGAGTGAAAAGTTTAGGTTTTTTAATTTCTTGATTGATTGAAAAAGAATAAAAATAGAGGAATAAAGCTTTGGAGATTACCTCAGTCATGGCTGCGAAAATCTGATCGTTAGGAGGATAATTATTCAAAATTTGGGTGCCAATTACGAGTGATTTTAGGAATTGGTTTAAACCCTAAAATCTTTTCTTTCTTGTTTAAAAGGGGGATTGAAATAATTTTATCAAGCGGGTTTCCCTTCCTATTTTGCAAAGGAAACTGGATCCAAAACCGACGAAACGCGGAAATCGCGGACTCTCGGTTTACCCGACCCTGAATGTTGGTTCATTGGACCGGGCCCTTTTTCTTTTTTGTATTTCGAAATTTATAAAGTTAGCTAATGTAGTACCAAGTATTATTGATTGATATCTATTTTTGGAATTCTCTATCATAAATTATGTCTTGATATTTATAAATTTATATTCTTTGTTAATTTTTTTTGATATTTTAAAATTATGACTTATTTTTTTAACATTTAAAATTTTTATTTTTTATATTTTAAAATTATTTTTATATATTAATATTTAATATTTAATATTAAAAATTATAAAATTTTAATTTTATATTTCATAAAAATCAAAAACACTCGAAGACAAAAAAATAATACATTATTTTCATAATTAAAATTTAAATTCTTAAAATGATATGTATAAATTAGTTATTTAATTAAAAAAACAAAGCAAAGAAGAAGACCAGACTATTACAACAATTTGGCTTCAAATCAAAATAAAAAAAAAAATTTTAATTTTTGTTAGAAATAGATGAGAAGCGCTAATTGAATTTTTACAACTTGCTTAGATTTAAACACTCAGTCCAATGATCCAAACTACAACAAGATTATTCTCTTTTTACTCTAAAAAAGAAAAAAATAGTTCTGAAAAATTATTGGGCATCAAAATTGGACCCAGAAACAAACAACCCTTTTCTTTCCCAACAATTGTTGCTTCCACTAATACCAAATTCCTTTTCCTTCCATCTCTTCACTTTGCTAATGGTGTCAAAGCTAATTTTTTTCTCCACAATCAAGTGAAAACAAAACAATCCCAAACTTCCTTTTTATCTTTCTTTGCCAAAACACATAAACCCTAACCCTCCAAAATCTGAAACTTGTTCTTTCAGAATGGATGAAACTTTGTTGCTAATGTTATCAAATCTCCTCCACCTCCATAATTCCCTTGACCCAGCCACTTCCCTCTTTTCCCCTGCCTCCTCTTCCCCTCCTCCCACTTCCTCCCCTTCCCCTTCCTCTCCTTCCTCTCTCCTCTCCTCCTCTTCCCCTGCCCCTCTCCTCTTCTTCACTCTCGCCTCCCTCCTTTCCTTCCTCGCCACGTCTTCTTCTAAGAAAGGACCTCAAAATTCTTCACCTTTGTCAAACAAAAGACAACCCAATTCCTCCCCTTCTCCTCCTCCCTCTTCTCCCTCTCACTTCTCCGTCGCAGCTTTTCGTGCTCTCTCTACTGACCACATCTGGTCTCTGGACGCCCCAATCCGTGATGCCCAATGGCGGTCCTTGTATGGACTCTCCTATCCCGTTTTCACCACCGTGGTTGAGAAGCTCAAACCTTTTATAACCGCCTCAAATCTTTCCCTTCCCTCTGATTACGCCGTAGCCATGGTTCTTTCTCGTCTCTCCCATGGCTACTCCGCTAAAACCGTCGCTTCACACTCTTCCCTGGACCCTTACCTCGTTTCCAAAATCACCAATATGGTGACTCGTCTCTTGGCGACTAAGCTCTACCCAGAGTTCATCAAGATCCCAGTTTCTCGTAGAAGATTGACTGAAACTACCCAGGGCTTCGAAGAACTTAGTTCACTGCCAAACATTTGTGGAGCTATTGATGGGTGCCCGATAAAGGTCCGTGGGTTGAAACTTGATAGGAATTTGATGAATTCTTATAAATGCAAATACGGGTATGATTCAGTTTTGCTTCAGGTTGTTGCTGACCATAGAAAAATTTTCTGGGATGTTTGTGTTAAAGCTCCTGGTGGGTCAGATGATGCTACTCATTTTAGGGATAGTTTGTTGTATAATAGGCTTACTTCAGGGGATATTGTTTGGGATAAGGTGATCAATGTGAGGGGTCATCGTGTTAGGCCTTATATTGTTGGAGATTGGTGTTATCCTTTATTGTCATTTTTGATGACACCCTTTTCTCCAGATGGTGCTGGGACGCCGGCACAAAATTTGTTTGATGGGATGCTGATGAAAGGGAGGTCTGTGGTGGTGGAAGCAATAGGGTTACTTAAAGCTAGGTGGAAGATTCTTCAAGATTTGAATGTCGGACTTAATCATGCACCGCAAACAATTGTAGCTTGTTGTGTGTTGCATAATTTGTGTCAGATTGCAAGAGAGCCTGAGCCTGAGATTCGGAAGGATCCTGATGAAACTGGGGCTCCAGCAAGGGTGCTTGAGAGTGAGAAGCAGTTTTATTATTTTGGGGAAAGTTTAAGACAGGCATTGGCGGATGATTTGCACCAAAGGCTTTCCTCCTTATAAGATACGCACTTTTGAGAAGAGGTTGATTTTTTTTAACCTTGTCTTATCTGTAAGAATATGTTTTTTTTGAGTTTTTCTAGCATGGTTGAGATAACATGTGTGATTTCACTCTCACTATTTATCGTCCTTTTTTAGTAAGCAGTAGAAGTAGATTTTGTGGTGCATTAAAGTTGATACTTGATATGTAAGACTTTATTATTAACTGTTGTGGCAAACTAACCTGGTATTGAAAGTTGAAAATAAGAAAGTTCTGAGTTTAAGAAACTGACTACTAAAACTATTATTGCTCTTATTAATTTCATCTTATAAATTGTGGTGTTAATGCTTTTGTTATGGTTTGCTTGGTAAGTTAGTATTGCTTTGATGTTCTGTATATTCATAGTTGTGAATACCATATTAAATTGAGTCTATAGCATTTGATAGAAAGAATCTTTTGTATTTCTCTCGAGTGATAGTTTTGAGATCTGCATTAGCTTTTTTTGTCTTCTATCTGTCCGTATCTACCTGTGCTGCCCTTGCCTTTGCTTTCTTTCTCTATCTTGCTGTTTAGTATGAAATGCTCATTTTTGGAATAAATCTTTATGAGATGGGTCTGGTTGCTGAAAGCTCCATGTTATAGATTTCACCGGTAAAGAAAATGTGTTTGAGGCTAAATTTATGGCTCATTTTTTATTTCAATGGTTGCAAGTGAAATATGGGTTTGGTTGCTGATTCTACCATGTTATATAGAAATCGCTGGTAAAGGAAACAAGTTTGGCAAGCAATAGTTATGAGTCATTTTCTATTTCAATGGTTTTTTGTATGGCTCTTTGATTGACAGAAATTATGAATATCATGATTGTGAGTTCCAACAGCCTGGTGAATTTAGGAAAAAAAACCAAGCCTTGGTTTTCACGAATAATTTTTTTTTCCCTACTGTTCTTGGGGTTTAAGACTTTTTTCCCCTTTGTTTTCCTCCTACACGAGGTCTTCAATTGAGAGCTACATAGTACAGTAGGCACATATATTTTCTTAGGTTCTGTGAGAGGGACTTTGTAAGCTTTTTCTTGCCCATACCTTCTTTTTGAGAGCCCTTTCGTTTTTCAGCATAAATAAATGGTATCATGCCTTCCTGCTCCTATCCAATCCCTTCGTTTTTCTCACATTTTCCCTGAAGGTTTAAGGTCTCTGGTAGGTTGAGGAAATGCTGTGCTAGAGTAGAAGCTTATCGATGTCTTTTAACTTGAATTGAGCTGGAGTAGCATCTGCCTAGTTATGGTCCTGTAGGATGTTGGAGAGAGAACCTAGTCTTCTAGACCCTAATATAAAAACCCATGAGTGATTCATCTGGATGAGGTGTAGAGGTAGTGGAATACATGCTCAAGTATATTGGCAAGGCAATGGAGCTTCATTGAAATCGAACGTATCCTAAGCATGTTGGTAGGAAAATTGTGGTAGGTAGGTGTTCCTTTCTGTCTTTTTGTAAGGAGATGCATTCTGATTTCTTAATAAATTACTTGAGAAATTTCGGACAGTCAATGAGATCTTTCTTTTCTCTAAGGTTGGGCTAGAAGAAGTAAAATTCGTCCAACACTTTTCCTCTCCCTTCTTCAAATCTTTGTTGCCTGAATGGCAATGATATCTTTTCTATAGATGTTTTCCTTAATTCTTTATACAGCAAGTCTTTGGAAGTTTGTATTATTCAGGACCTTTTGAATAGTTGAACCTATTACGAGGACCAGGGCTAATAAAAGCTAGATGTGATAATTCATATATTTGTTCAGTGTTTACTTCATGTTAATTACATGTAAAACACGAATTATCATATTACAAATTGTATCAACATATCAAATACGAAAATTTTGTTTTATTTTTATTAAATTTATATATGATTTTTATTAAAATTTTAAAAAAAAATTTCTTTTTTTTTTTTGGTATTATATGAATGTGTCTTGGTCTAATAATTCAATTAAATATAGACACGGCAAAATATAAGTGCACAAGGACTAACGGGCTCAGTTCATTTAACAAGGTTTGAATTTTCCAAAATATCTCTCTAATGAAAAAATGGAAAATAATGTTTATCCTTTACCCTTTTACAGTATTATTATTTTTGAATCAAAAATAAAAATTACATTTTTTTCATTAAAAATAAAAGCTGCAAATGAACATGCGATGCAAGCACTTCACAAGTTTGAAGTGCAGACAAGTTTAAACGTTCGGCAGCTCTTGATGCTTTCACCGCATTGAACTTTCCTCAATGAATAAGAAACTGGATTCCACGAGAAAGCGGGTAATTTTTGCCTTTTTGAGAATCACCAACATTTTTCATTTAACGAATGGATTTACCAGAAATTCAGTAGTGACGTTTCCCTCAAGAAACCCGTGCTTCAGCTCATGGCTTTGGAGTCCTACACAATGGGTGCGGCCATCACTTATCAAAGTCCCCCCATTTGTGGTGCAGATCAATGATGCTCTTCTTTACCAACTCAATAATAACACCGGTCAAGTTATCGTAACAATTGAATCAATCTTCTCAAAGGAGCTTCAAGAATAGCGTGTAGTGCCACTGATGAAAATGGCGCAGAAAGTAGTCTAAACAACATGCAGTAGAATTACCACAAGTTTCGTTGTTACATACAACTTAAGCATATATAAGTATGGAATGAATACCTATTGAGCTGCCGTAAGTAATGGAGGTGTTTAGTCCCCAAAAAAGTTATCCCGGCATAATCATGATGACAGTTAGTAGCAAACACGACAAGTTTCATTCGTATTTTAAGATTACCAGGAAAGCTATGCCATTCAACCTGCTTCCTCCTTAATGTCCTCTAAATATAATAGCACGCACGGCTATTACCATTTATGAAGGGCTCATGGGTTTATAGTTCATTGTGCCCCCAGAATATGCAGTTCAGCCACTGTTTGGAAGGAGACCATCCATGGCCATTTGTGTAAGCACATCGAAAGCTGCATCCATGTTCCCTTCTTTATGGTTTATCTCAACAAGTACTTTAGCAAGCTCAGCGTCAGTAATCTTACAGCTTCTAAGTATGTTTGCTATGACTTGACTTAACTCATCAGTCTTACCAACCATGAATAGTGCTTTAACCAGAGCAATAACAGTCACAGTATGAGGCACAAAACCAGAATTTACCATTTCCTTGTACAGATCATATGCCTTGTGAATATTTCCACCTCTACAATGACCATGTATAATAACATTATATACAGCTTCATCAGGCTTATAGTTTCTCTGAAGCATCGACTCAAAAACTTGATCAGCTTCATTCATCAAACCCTTCATACAAAAGCCCTTTATAAGAGCTACCGCACTTTTAAATTCAGTATTACTACAGTTCTGTATCAGCGTATTATATGTGACATCACTGGGAACAGACTCATCATAAAACAACTTGAGCAAAAGCCTCTTTGCTTCCCTTGTCCTAGCTTGTTTATTAAGACCATTGATAAGCACACTATAGGTAACAACATCAGGAAGGGATCCCTTCTGAACCATTTCATCATGCAAAAGAAAAGCCTTTTTTATATCCCCCTCTCTGCAATAAGCACAAATTAACGTAGTATATGTAAATTCATCAGGAGTCACACCCACATTCAGCATCTCCTGGAAAAGATCACAAGCTTCAGTAAGTCTACTCTGCTCACACAGACCTTGAATCAGTGAAGAAAATGTAACTGCATCTGGTTTAACTCCTTTCTCAGCCATCTCCTGCTTCATTTGGAATGCCTTCTCCAAATCCTGGCGTTTACAAAATCCAGAAATAATTGTACTATAACTTACTAAATCTGGAGCCAGCCCTTTTCCCACCATATCTTGTAGCATTTTTAAGGCCTCTTCTACCCTTCCAAGCATACAGTGTCCATTAATAAGAGTATTATAAGTAACTAGTGAAGGTGAAAATCCGTTTCTACCCATTTCATTTAGTACCCGAAAAGCTTCATTTAAAAGTCCTTGCTGGCAGAACCCATTAATCAAAGTAGTATATGTTCTCTCATTTGGATGAAGTCCTCTAACATGCATCTGGTCAAAAAACTCCATTGCTCTGTTCATATTCCCAGCCTTGCACATGCAATTAATCAACGAAGTATAAGTAATGACATTTGGAGTCAAGCCGTTCCTCACCATCTCCGCATGCAAAAGCAATGCTTGATGAACATTACCATCTTTACAATACCCATTTACAAGTGTATTATAAGTAACCTCATCAGGAACAAAACCCTTTTGACTCATCTCCCGAAGCACCTCACTCGTCTCCTTCATCCGACCTTCCCTACATAACCCATTGATGATTACATTGTAAGAAATCAAATTTGGCTCCAAACCCTTCAATGCCATTGTCCTCAAAAACTTAAACGCATCATCAATCTTCTTCGACTTGCAGTGTGCATCGATTAACGTATTATAAGTAACCACATTAGGCAAACAACCCTTTCTCTCCATTTCACTGAAAAACCCCAAACCCATATCCAAATTCCCCGCTGAGCAAAAACCCCTAATCAAAATGTTATAAGTAAACACATTTGGTGAAACCCCATTTGTAATCATCTCCCGAAAAACATCCTCAGCAAATCTAACTGGCCTTTTACACCTAATCACGGCGTCTAAAATAGCATTGTAAGATAAAACCCCAGGCATAAAACCGTTAGATTTAGCTAAATTAACAATATTAAGAGCCTCATCGATTAATTTCAAATGGGCATAAGATTTTACCACCAAGTCAAAAACAGAGGAGCTTGAAGCACACGAATGGTAGGTTTCCTTGAGGCACTGAAAGACGAAATCGCCCCTTTCATCGGATGCAATGACGGCGAGGTCCTCTGCTAGGGACTGTGCTGATTTATAGAGTTTGAATTTGGTGAGGATGTGGAGGGCGAGGCATTTGCAGCGAGGGGTGAAGAACGGGTGGGGTTGGGCCCATTTGAGGAATTTTAGGATTAGGCTTCGGTCATTTTGGGACTTGAGGAGTAAAAATGAAGCTGCTTCAGGGGTGAAAATGGAAGAGAGGGAATTTAGCTGGTAAGGGTGGCGTTTGAGGAAAGTTAGGGCTTTGTCTGCTAAGAGGGCGTTGGAGGAAGATGAGAGAGAAGAGAGTGATCGGTGAACATAGAGGTTCAGGAAGGGCATTTCGGCCAAGAAAGCTAGGGTTTATCAGTGGTTCTGAACCAGAGGAGCCGTTGAAGTTGAAAGTTCTCTTTTGCTGGGTTATTTGCTCTTTCAAGTTTTGCCCTTTTTCCTTTTCCTTTCATTTTGCATTAGTCGGGGGTATAAAAAGTCCGCATCATAACTAAAAATTACCCAAATTTTTATTTTTATTATAATTAATCAATCATTTTAATATTTATTAAAATTCAATTAAATTTTTATTTATATGAAAAATTAATATCATTAATTTTTTTATTTATTAAAATAAAATTTTATATGACGTTATTAAAATAAATAAAAATTTATCATGTAATATAATTAATATATATATAAATAAAATAAAATAATTTTTTATTTATTTTTGTCTAAAATCTCTCTAAAGATTCAATTCATTATAATTAAAGGATCAATTAATTAAATTTTGTTTATTTAATTATTTAATTCAATTTAAATAAAAAATTAAAATTTTATTTATAATAAAATAATAAAATTTTAAATTATTATTAATTATAATTCAATGACAATTTTTTATAATTTAACCTTTTACTTTATATGTATTTTTCATTTTTATATTGCCTACTTTTAATTAATTTATTGCCATTTCTTTTCTTTTTGTTGGGCTGTGAACAATTATCTAGCCATTTACTACTTCATGTAATACTAAATCATGAAAGCCGTAACCCGAGGCAATTGCATATGGTGAAATTCCTGATCATTACGTAATTCAATTGAATTAAATTTGAGTCCAATTCCTATTTGATAGGAAACAAATCCTCCCAGACTGGATAGCTAAAAGTTGGGGAAATAATAAATCGAACATATATAAATAATAAAAAAGTGTAACGAGACAAACTTATTGCCCCATTCAGGCAAGCTAAAACTATATTTAGTTTTACATTTTGTTGCCAATGATACTTTTGCTGCCTTTCAAATCATCCCATAACTTTCAAACTTCTCAAAGAATTAGCATAAAGTTGATGCCTCATAATCTGAGCTGAAGCTGGATACAGGGAGCATGCTTCCCCAGCTTCCCGACTCTCCCAAAATTATTAGAAAGATCAATCCATTTTTAAAGTGCGCTGATCCCACGTCTCATTGAATTGTAATCGACCATGGTGACATGATTAGTATTTCCTACAGTCAACATCCCTTGTGAAATCATTGTGGCTTCGCAAGGGATCGACTGGATGGGCCGCGCAACAATTTCACGAACCCAAGGAAACTCAACTTCCCATCACTATGCCTCACCCAGTCATTAAGAACAGCATGAACTGGAATAGAGGGTCCAAGACCAAGTTCCTGAAAAATTGATTTTCAGAAGGGACAATACCATTTAGTAAGTCTAATTTCTTCCTAGAACTAATTTCACAAGCTTTTGTCACTTAAAAGTACAAAATGGCTACTTTAGATTGCATATGATGATTCATTTTCTAATTTTAGTAATCATAGTACAGACCACAAGCTATTATTTCATATATAAAAAGAATTTCAAGCTTACCGAAGCGAGCTCCTCAATGACAATAGCCCTGTTTCCATCCTTCTCAAAAAGCTCATATGCACGGCGGGCATGCTGTTCCCAGCGATCAAGTGCCTCAAGCTGATGGACACTTAATGCAGCTGCACAAAATTCTTCAAAATCCATTCTTCTGTATTGAAGTGTATTTAGCTGTCATGCAATGGAAATTAAATGAAAGGTACTTGGATAAGCGACTTCTCTATGACCATATAGTCAAGGAATGGTTACATAAAAGAAAGAATAACAACTGAGGTCATACCAATAAAAGATAATCAAGAACGTGAGACTCCTTCATTGCTTCTGTCGCATTTTTCATAAGGGCCTGTTTGCAAGAAAATAAATAATGAGTTCAAGTGCCTTATCTAACACTATCTCAAACCCCCTTCTTTTTTCTTTCTTTTGGAGAAAGGAGAGGGGATGAAGGAGACTAACCGTCTTAATATTCTCCAAGGTTATGCTACCATTTTTGGGCTCTAATAATGCAAATTGCTCTCTCAGGTAAAACAGCTCATCCACAGTCAATGTCTTAGACAATGCCTGTAGGAAACAAAATTGCTAAAGGAAATAAAACATAAAAATTGATGATTTCTATTAAGTAGAATCCATGTATCAGATCTTTCCAACATAGAATCTTAAATGACATACTTATGGGACAAGAAACTAAGAAAAAGTACTCTCAAGTCAAGAGTTGATTTAAAGGCTTATTTCTTGGTAGTGATTTTTTTTAAAGCTCTTTGATTCTCAATAGCCTTTACATTTGGTAAAGGACATGCATAAGAGATCATTTACAGCTTCTTACATCAGACTAACAGGTTTCACTTAGGTGTTAAAATCATCAATGACTCAAGCTTTACATAATTTGAATTGCAAATTACTGAGAGAACAAATAATAATGAGCAGAGAAAATCAAAGTTGAAAATCTTAGATTCAGAGGCCAACAAAATTAAAAAAAAAAAAAATACAATTGTGCAGACAATGATTGGTCCATGAGCATAACGGTTACAAGACCAGATACTACATGGTGGCATAGGTAGAGTACAAGAAGAAGAGGATTTTTCCATGTAGCATACACACCTTTAAAGCAGACTTGCGCAAAGTAGATGATCGCAGATATGCCTTCATAAGTCTAAATATTAAAATATCGAGAGGGACCTTAACATCATTATGATTCTGAATCCAAGGATGACCTGTGAACAGAAGACTAAGGTCAGTTGCTCTAGCTTAATGATGTTAGCAACCTACCATTATGAGTAAAATTGATGAACGCACTCAGAGCCTGAGCTGCTGTCATTCTTTTCCTAGGGTCCTTATTCAGGAGGCGCCTCACAAAGTCCTTAGCTTCTGAAGACAAGGTAGGCCAAGGTGCCTCGTTAAAATTTGGATCAGCTTTTAAGACTGCTCGAAAAATTCCAGATTCAGTCCTAGCCCAAAATGGACGACTACCGCATAAAAGAATATATGCTATCACTCCTATACTCCAAACATCAGCTTCTGTACCATATGATCTATGTAGAACTTCGGGGGCCACATAGTATGCACTTCCCACAATGTCATTAAGTCTTTCATCTAAAAACACCATAAGCATTAGAAATTTAGAAGAATCCCAAGGCTGAGCAGGAGGAAGCTGAGTGAGAAGAGTACAAACCTGGTCTGACAAAATCTGACAAGCCAAAGTCTATGGCTTTCAGCAAAGAGTTCTCTTCCTTGGATGTATATAGAAAGTTCTGGTCCAGAAAAGTGCTAAATTTAGATTGCAATACCAAAAAAAAAAAAAAAACAGAAAAGGTCATATGTTATTTAGATAATATCTACCACCGAATGATGGTAACAGACTAAGGCATTATGTTGTAGCATGAGAAGGGTCACAGAATTTTTAGCAGGTAGTAGACATTAGACACAGCCTTGCCCAGTTCAAGAATTTCCCCCAAAGCCCCTCATAAAGTCAATTTCAGCATAGGAATCGCAAACATAACTCCCGTTACATAGTATTATGCTGTGTTTATAGAAAAATACCTAGCATGTGTTTAATCTTGCATCTATTGAGGATCACGACCTACTAATGCATTTATGCTTTTAACTATTGAGTAAGGAAAAGGGAATTTGCTCCACCTCTGGTTTAAGATCTCGATGCACCACACCCTGAAGATGACAAAAGGCAACAACATTTAGTATCTGGACCATTACAGCCTTTGCATCATCTTCTGAGTATTTTCCACCCCTACAAGCATTATAGACCTTCAAGTTAAGGCAACAATTAGGTAGATATGAGAGCTAAAATAAACAAATTCTCAAAATTTGAGCTGTCTATTACTACAACAATCACCTTGCAAGTATTCTATCCAAAAGTTCGCCTCCTTCGCACAACCTGTAATTTCAATTTTGTTACTCAAAATTTTACCTCAGATTAGAGATCAATAACAACTTGTACTGAAGCAGCAAGTAAGAAATGGCCAAGTGCCAGAGAATTAAATACTTGAAAACATTTATAAATGCAAGAAAGCCAAAACTGAATATTAATAGTTTGTAAATATTGCCCAGATAAAAAAGAAATTCTAAAGGTTCTTATTGAGTTTTCCACAATAAATTAATTGCGATGCAAAATTAAAATAAGATCATATAAACAGCAGTGCACGTTTCAAGCTTACTCCATTGCTATATAGACATTATCATGATCTTCAAATGCATCATAGAATTTCACTAGATTGTTATGTCCTGTCAAGGCTCGCAATATCTTCACCTCCCTTCTCACATCCTCAACTGCAATAGCTGTTGTCATCTGACAACATAGAATAAACTGTCAGGAGAATATAACATAGAAGACAAACCAAGAGAAAAAGCAAAATACAACACAATCAAAATCTCACTTCATTAAACCTTCATTACCCAGAACTTTTCTTCCCGACAAACACAAATGCATCTAATATAACTTGACATAAAGCATTCTCTTCACACTTTATTTGTTATTTCGGTTGAAAAAGCTATAGACGAATGATAGAAGCCACCTGTATCTTCATTCCGTTGTCATTAAAATTTTAATTGTTGACAAATAAATACTGACAAATGGTAAATACTCACAATATTATTAATTTTCATAGTCCTTCCCTATTTTCCAAGAAAAAGTGGATACTTGGACTAGCAAAAAAACAATACTTTGAGTATGAAAAGAAAAATTTTACAGAAATGACTTAAACTGAAAAACTTTCCTTTGTCAAAGCAAGTCATAATGGAGGGAAAAAAAGGTCTATCTGAAGAACAATTCATCAGCTCTATTCTACTGCAAGTCATAAAGGAAATCCATCCCTATCTCTTCCTCCAATATTTTCCTTTTTCCCTTTCACAAGGGGCCATCAATATCAGAAATCAAAGATTCACACACGAGATTAGGAAAGCAGGTTACTTAGCAATTTATTAGTTGTTATAACATCTCAAGCTTGCAAGGGGTAAACTAAATTAAATTGTCCTCGTCATAAGATCTTGACCTGCAGCTAAGACTTGCTCAGCTCTTTCTCAGTCGAAAACAACTCTAATCATGTATCATCTTCTGTTCGGTATAAATTGAAGCATAAGAATGAAATGATGCAATTTTTCTATCCCCCACGTAAAGATTCAAAGAACCTCTTCAAGGTAATTTGACCAAATAAAGTTTAGGGCCCAACAATATAGCAAATCCAGATAATGTTGTGTAATCCAGCTACAACCATTTGTTTTTTCAGCTGGGCTGTAAGTATAAGCTGGTAAAAGACAATCGGGTATTAGTTGACTGGTTCTACATGACACAACGTAAATTACGGGTCCAAAGCTAAGATCCCATTTGAGACCTGATCTTTTCAATAATTCAGTCAATTCATAACCATTGGATAATGGTGCTTCAATAGCAGCTGTCAATTCTGAGGTGCAGAGAAAGTGACATGTCAATAAGTTCACTAGAGAATCTCAACATTTTCTTATCATACAATATTCACTTCCACCAGCATCGAGCCATACAACCTAATGATGCAAATATGCATTTTTTAGGGCCAAGATGTGATTTAGACCTAAAATATCCAAGTAAGATGTGGTAAGCTTGACACATCAAATAATCCAAGGGGTTCAGGTGGTCCGAAGTAATAAATTATCAATCCCAACCACTGACCCCAGAAAAATCAATAAACAAACAAGTTGGTCACTTTATGTTGTTTTACACTCAAGAAATAGAGACGTAAAGAACTGAATTTAACCCCGCATTTTCTCCATCTAGAAGGATTCTGAAACAGTAAATTCTCCCAAGATTTCTTCTTCCTTCAAGATTTTCTTCATGCCATAGTTAAGCTAAAGTCTTCAGCCCACTTACCTTGAAATTAACACTTTAACAGGAAATGGAAGCAAAATACAAGAATGAAAATTTTGTATGTGTGTGTGTGTCTATATATATATATATATATATAAAACAGAAATCAAAATAGCCCTTCTTGGCAGAAGGAAATAAGAAATCACCATAAACAAAAAGGAAGCCCAATTTCAGCCAGAATTCAAAATCTAACACTTAATAAAAAAGTAAAGCACGCGGCCCTTGAATTCAATCTTGGAAAGAAAAAACAATTTTGCATATCATGTAAAAATCAACATTTACAAATACATAGATTTAATATATATATATATATATACATACGTATATGTATGTATACATACATATATATATATATGTATATGGACATTGTAAATGTATAAACTTTAAAAAGAGAAAAGGATAAAGGACCAACCTTGGACTTGGGGATGACTTTAACAGCAACCTGCTGGCCTTTGAACTCACCTTTCTTGAACTTTGCAGAACAAGTGTACCCAAAATGCCCTCTGCCAACTTCCTCTCCGACTTCCATCCTACTCCTCAACTCCTTTGAAAACCCAAATCTTTTATCCAACTCAACCCCTTCCTCGTCCTCATCCTCCTCTCCCTCCGCAATTCTAGCCTCATTTTCCGCTTTCTTGTTAGCCTTCCGCCGCCTCAGCACTGCTCGGATGTGCTTGGCGGGAGAAGGAGGAGGAAAGGATCTCCGAAAAAGCCGAAGAGGAGTTGAAGGAGTCTTGGGTTTGTTTGGGTGGGCAGGGCTTGGGGTGTACATGGGGAGGAAAGGTGTGGTTGGAGGGAGAAGAGGAGGAGGAGATTTGGGTGGTTGAGTAGGGGCAGGATAGTCATTCTGCTGGTTCTCTCTTGAGGCATATGGGTTTGGCTTTGAAGGCTTCGAAGTGCAGCTTCCCATTGTCGAGGAAGATCAAGAAACTGCTGTTCCTACTTGCATTTGAGAGATTTTTGAGATTTAGCTTTTTGTAAGAAAGAATCACGGAGAGACCTTGCCGTTGCTTGTTAACGTAAGAAGAGGAGGAAGAAATAAGTGAAAGTCATTAAAGTAAAGCCGTACAAGCCGCTATCCACGTGGCATGCACATGACTTTTTTTACTGTTCCTTGAGCAGTGTGTAAGAGATTTGGAAGTGGATTGGTAATGGCCGGCAATGCCCCCCCAAGGTTCATTGTCCAAAAAAAATTTTGCACTATAAACCTCAAACAAAATTTTTGTTTTTGTAAATACTACTAATTCACTTTGTACTCAATAGAACAGTTCCAATTAGGTTGTTTATTGTTCTGTTTCCTATGATTTCTTGCAATCATGGAGGTTAATCTTGTTTTGTTTTCTTTCCTACTTCTCTTTCTTAAGCTTAAAAATCATAATTTTTAATAATATATTGAAATATTTTTTAAATTTTATTTAAATTCAAAGATACCCTCTTTTATATTGATATCTTACATTAAAATTTTAATGATAAATAAAAATATTTTTACTCGTAACAAGTGTCATCAAAATTGATAAAATTATATTAAAATGATGATGAAGGCAATTATTGAAGTGTTTAAAATATTGTGGTTACTTTTTATAGATTGGGTATGCTTCTATAGCTTGATGTTTGAAATTGCCTAAATCTTATTGTTTAGTTAAAGGCACAATCATATGATAGATTATTGAACTTGATATCTTTACAAGTTTTTGCCTATTTTGTTAAATGAACAAACTTAACAATTACATAACTTAGTTGGGAAGTTGAAAGATCATTTTACATTAATCAAATCTTTGGGGTGCAACACAGCTCATGATTAAATTTTATGTGAGACAAAGTGAGGTAAAAATGATTCATCTTTCACTTTCTGCTTTGGGGTTTGTAGCATTTGTGCCTTGGATTTTAAGGGTTGGTAACACTTAATAGTAGCTTCTTGACATGCATTGGGACCACTGGAATTTCTGGTTCTAATTAAGATCTTTTAGTTCATTGTCAAAATTATAATGTTACTTGTCTAGAAAGAAAATATACATTGTAATTTTCTGTCTTTTTGTATATTTTTTCCATCACTTTTTATTTTGTTTTTCACACCTTTTCTTGTAAATTCCTCTCCCATTATAGGAGACAATGGATGCCTTTCATTTCATGGAACTTGAAAGTTTACTTTTCCTCAATCTAATCAAGGTCAAAAGAAAAATAGTATAACAAATTCAAATTTTGATTTGTGGGGTTAAATAATTTTCTCATTTTTATTTTCATCCTCTATATATAGAGAGCTGATAATTTTAATAAAAAAATTCAATACAACATTAAAATAATATGAAAAAAAATTTTAAAATTTTAATCAAAATTGTATATAAATTTAAAAAATTAAAAAACATATTTTTATTTAACATGTCGATACGAATTTAACACATTAATTTTCATATTTTACACATATTTGATATAAAAATATATATAACATAGAGATGTAAATTATAATAATGACTCATGTAACCCTAACAAGTACCAAAAGAATAATAATTTCCTTGTATTTTTCCTTCAAATTGGTAAAAATTAAAATAAAAAAAAATCATCATTGATTGTTCCGGTAATATAGATCAAGGATGGATATTGTCATTAAAATATTTAGAAAAATAATGGATTAAAAATGTAGAGTTGAAAGATTCGAATCAACACTAAAAAAGAAACCCTTCTTGAGGCTTACAGAAGCAAGCACCATAAACAAACTCACATGGAGTCCATGGGTTTTGTTCCAAGGATATTTAATTTTTGGACCAACCAGCTATTTTTAATAATAAGCAAAAAAAAAAAAAATCATATTCTACATATATAGTCAGTCTTAACATTTTATTTAATTTTAATTTTAAAATGTGTTTTTAAATATTAAAATATAATACTATATATTATTTTAAAAATTTTAATAATAAAATTAAATTCAACAAATTTAAATAAATTTTATTAAAAGAATTGATCAAAAATTTAAATAAACATTTAAATATATCATTCATCAATCAAATTTTATCCGATTTGATTTGATTTTAACACTTTCAACGAATACAATTGCAAGACTCTTAATTGTTGCATAATTTTCTTGTCTTTCATATCGGTTGATGTTTTTAATTGAATTTTTATTACTTTGGGTATAAAATATTTTTGGTCGAAACTTTGGTACAATTAAAATCAAGTCAAATGTGAAGTTTCTTTCAATTATAGCACCAAATCAATCACGTTTTTTATTTATTTCATGATGTAACAAGTAACCACTTATATAAATCAAACCTTAATGCTATTCCCTATTGAAAGAGAGAAGAACACATATTAATGCAAAATTAAAGACAATAACTACACCTAGTATTAGAACCGTCTTAATAGATCCCATAGTCAAAAGAAATACGTTTCTTTGATGTTAATACATTTGACACTTGCCCGTAAAAAATACTCATGAATCGAATCTAATTGGATCAAATTTAATTGATATTATGTGAAAATTCTTCATTGAAATAATATATAACGTGAGTAACACGTTTTTAAGAAAAAAATAATTTTCAATTGTTAAATGTTAAATGATTTTTATATAAAATTAATATTTTTAATTTTATTAATTTTAAACATTGAAAATAAAATCTGTTAGGAGATGGTTGTCAGGTTGTGTAATAATTTGTAACATTTAACTTAAAACTCATCTAAATAAATTATCAATCAAGTATTATTTGAAACATTAGATTTTAATTAAAAACATTTCATTGTAAATTTAGAAAAATAAATTTTCACAAAATTAAATTGCATAGTATACATCATATTTCTTTTGGATGGTGTTGAATCTTTCACATGTAGTAATAAGTCAAAGAAAAAGAAAATTTATCCAATATTTAATTAAGAGATCACAAAATTGAAAAGTCTAATTTTGATTTAGTAGTCTTAAATTTATGAGATTATAATGAAACACGACTTAAATTCAGTCACAAAATTTTAACTGAAATTAAATTTAATATTAAAAAAAAGATTTTCCAATTGAAAGATTTAAAATAAAATTTGTTTATTTTTTATGAATTAGGGTTTTGCAATTGCAATTAAATCTCATTAAGATTTCACAATAATTCTCATCAAATCAAGTCGTGAGATAAAAAAATCTTGGATAGTCTCTCACACTTTTTTTTTTTTTGGTTCCTTAAAGAGTCCTCATTCCTCAACTATATTCCCTTAGTCTCAAGGTCATCATTGTGAATCAAAAGAACAAGTGGGATCCCCACTAAATGGCTAAAAGAAAATGTCATTATTAAAAAATAAACCAATTAAATTCCTTCTCTCTTTCTCATCAAGATGTTTTTGACAAATGGGGGCACCATTTTTTTGACCATTAAAGGGAAACTATGAATGTATCTTTTCACTTAATCAATGCATTTGATTAAAGATATATATTTTCTCTCCTTACTGTGCTTTGGTCCCATTTACAATTTTACAGGCACCACTTGGCTTTTCTTTATCAGTTTTTTTTTTTTTTGGCAATTTTTTTTTAAATCAAAGTGTATGAGGCAAGATCACCAAGAAATGGAGATTCCAAACCATATTGGTAACGGTAGTTTCTTGGTATGCTCCCAACAATTCTAAAAGTGATATGATGAATTATCAGTTCTTTGGCAATACAAGAAAATAAGAAAGCTATTATCTACAGAAATGATTCATATGTATGCTTTTAAGGTTTACTCACTGCCTATTGCTCAGGACTTCAAACCCTTTTGAAAGCAACCAGCACCATGCACAATGGATGACTGACTAGAAGAAAACTATAAAAACAAAGCCCCAAGTCCACATCTGCCTAATTATAACTCCATAGATGATGATAGCCATTCCTAAATGTCTGCTTAATTATAAAAGCAAATTCTTTTAAACGTTGATCACTAGAGCAAAAAATCTAACACTTTTTTTTTTTTTTTTTTTGTGTTTGGCACAGCTAAACTATGCATCATAGTCTTAGCACATCACTGCGACTGCTATCACCTTATTGCATTCATTTCAGTTTCAGTTCTTTTCAGATTTCATCGATTACCCTTAATTAGTTTATTCTTTTTGCACAAGTTAGTATAAAACAAGCATGTCAGGCAGATGTAAAGAGATGTTCATTTGGTTACTGATGCTATTCAGAAAGATGGCATAAATATAATTCTAGTTGTTTTGTTTGTACCTTTGGAACTACATATGAAACAGAACTTTCAGAGTCTGTCAAGGAAAGAAGGGATAAACGCAATGTTAGAAAACAAGGCTAGGAATGATTGATAACAAACGGATAAAGACAAACCAGATTTAGGGTTGGAAGTGGGGTGGGGGTGATACAATGATTTTTCATCGGAATGACTACTTTTGTTGGGCCAGTGAACAGCTATTGCAAAGCTGAACTTGACAGCTCATTGACCGTGGTCCTTGGCATATCAGTATCCATCCGATGCTCAAAGCTCCATCAAATCTTAAATAGCTAATGCAAATCATATGGGTGAACGCTAACCAAAGAGAACTACTAACTGATCACTCAAGCAAACGTAAAGAGAAACTTCCAAATGGTCCTAAACATTTTGCAACAATGAAAATAAAGAGATTCTGATAGATACAGAGCAGAACCTTTTCATATGTCGTTTGTGGGGTTATTTGTGTGCTTCATTAGGAGTTTTCATTAGGCTCAAAATCTCAATATTGCTTCCAAGTTATGGCATTCTCAGCCAACCCTCCATATGAAGTATGAACAGAGTTCTAATCATGCTGTGTCCAAATGGAAAAACCATGGGTATTTATATGGTCCTTGGGACAAATACATCAGAATTTTAAACTCAGCTGTTTGCCTCTCATTTGCCTCTAATACATCCTGCCAATCAACAGTGAAGTACAATGCACCGGATCTTGGAACTTGGGAGTAGATCCATCAGACAACTGCATTGTGAAAATGCAGAGCATGATTCAATATCTATCTCCAGTACATTGCTCTTGCTGCTCCATGGAGGCATTAGCATAGAAAAAAGGTTTGAGAAGGGTTATTGAGTATTGAGTAACAAAGCAAGCACTCAATTTTGCATCCCAAGTCCACAAGTAGTGGACTTATAAATGTGACTGATTATCAATAAGCACTGGTTTTCCAATGGGTTCCTACTTCCCACTGAATCTTTATTCAAACTGAGGAGTTCGGATCTTCTTCATCTGAGTCAAATTCAACCTGCAAGCAAGTTATAGGCATAAATGGTAATTAGTCAACATTCATAGACTTTTATTCTTTTCTTTTCCTTCTTCTTGAACTTGAATTAGCTTCTAAATTCTGCAAATTGACAACACACAAACATTGAAGCAATCAACAGCATGTTTACACTACATTAGTGGAAAAGAAGCTCACATTTTCATCTTTGTACCATTTACCATGGCCGTCACGTTTCCAACCAGCAGATGTAAACTTGAGTTCTCTCTCTCTACGTTCCTGAAAATCCAGTTGCTTCTGTAATAACTCGTTGGATGTTTCATTTGCAGGGAAAGACTGACTCTGACAAAAGTCGGGTGTCACATATTTAATATCATTCTGCCTCAGCACCATGTCATGGTTTTCATTTCTCAAATTGTGCTTAGGCGTTTTATCACTAAGTATCTCAGAAGCAGCCTTCTGAGCCATTTGAATCAATGGTTTGCTAGCTAAATGAGCATTTTGCTTGGTAGCACTAGAGTTAACAGAGGAAGTAGGAGTGTTTGACAAAGCTATTCTCTTGTTTATTTCATCCAGTCTCATAAGTTCTTTTTCCTTCATCTTGGACTCTGCAGCCCGATGACGTGATCCTTTGCAATGCATCTGCAAAACAAATTTTCAACAATCAACAACTAGTTTTTGGAGGAAAATCCTTAGAACCAACAAAACAAAACAAGCAATATCTTACAAGCAGACAGGAAACAACTAAAATATTAATACTGTCAATTATATGATAGAATTATACAACTTAAAATTGATGACTTAACAGCCTTGAAAACAACCTCCTCCACTAAAAATCCTAGGGAAAAAAACAAAAGTTATAAGTTCTATATTAATAGTCCTAACTCATACAAACAGGCAACAAATTCAAGCTAATAAGGAAAATCGAAAGATGTAAAATTGCCTTATGAAATGGCTAGCTGCAATACAGAAAGGAGGTGACATAGTATAACCATGAGATGATTTCCTGGCTTCCATCTAAATTGCCTAAAATCAGGAAGCTCTCAATGGACTAATCTCTAAAAAGAAGGAAAAAAATTATGGGTCATATATTCAGCACATTTACATTCCAAGTTCATGAAAGTAGGCAACAAAAAGCCTTGTAATCAATTCAAAGAATTAAGCTACCCCAATAACTAAAACACCTCTCTTTTTTCTTTCTTTCTAATTAATGATTATAGACATGGGTTTCCAATATTTTGGATTTTTATTAGATACCAAGATATGATTATGCAATTTGATTAAGAAAGCTGAGAGGAAGAGAATGAATAGAATGATTGCGTACAGAAAGCATGAGAGGTGTATCGAAGATGGGATTGTGAGGGCAGACAAGACAAGCGTATTTGCCGGAAGACAGCTTCTTGTAAGATGAGTCATCAACCCCCTCTATAACAACTTCATCTATTCTTCTCTTTCTGTATTGTGCTTCTCTTCCCCAACTATCCCCTCCGAACACACTCATCTTTCTTCCCCTTTCAAGTTCCACCCTTCTCTTTTGTTTCGGTTTCAACACTGCCTCTTCATCCGGGTTAAGCAGCATTCAGGGAATGGACGGATTGTCCGCCGCTTAGGCCTTTGTCTCAAGTCCATTGGGCCTAAGCTTAGATCTTTTAGCCTTTTTCCTTTTTAATCCTAAACATGCTTACGTTTTTTTTTTTCAATTATTGGCCAAAAAAGTCCAATAATCATCCAATTTCCAAAAATGTATTTTTCTATCCTTTTTTTTAGTACTTTTTAATGGTGATGGGTAAATAAGACATGTTATTAATCACACGAATTCTACATTTGGCTCAAATGTCAAGAGATTTTTTTTAATTGATTTGAATTCAAATTTGTTGTGAGAAAGTAATATCATATGAATTTTTTAAATCTAACACAAATGAAAAAACTTCTCATTAAACTAAAATTAATAACTTGTAGACAATAATTGAAATGTATAAAGACACCATTTTTAACTTGAAAAGAAAGACACAAAATCGGAAGGAAATTATCTTCCCTTGGAACACAATCTGTACCAAGCGAAGCTTTGGTTTATTCTAAGCTCAGCTTGTAATCTCGAATGAAAAGTATAAAAACAAAACTGACAAACCAAACTATCAATCCTTACAATTATCTTGTTCACTAATTAAAAACCTTGTATAAAGCAGCACTGCATCTTCCCTGCTCTCATCTCCGTCGATCAATGGTGCCAACGAAAAAATGGCACCACCATAAACTTCATACGACCAACATTGCAATGGAAACCGTTACGTTCACCACAAGCAAAGTAATAGGGCCTCCACCTATTGAGCACAAAGTGGAAGCCGTCTCCGCCTCCTTGGGTTGGATCTGCAATCTTCTTTGCTCTTCTCAAGTCACAAGTCAGGAAGCTCCATAGGTTTGGTAGCAAGTAAACGCTGTGAGGAAATGTGGTGTTGCTTGGTGGATCATATTTGAACACTGCAACCATCATTTTATCAATTAGCATATGTATAAAAAGTTTTAACCATGTTCCTCTTTCTTGTACTGTTTTGTAGAGAGAAAGAGAAAGAGAATCATGTTTGACTCACCTAGAGTATCATTGTAGTAGAATGGACCATTTTGGAATGCCCATTCAGTGTAATTGAAGCCGAAGTGCCAATTTTCCGACCCACCAACATTGATGATGTTGGGGCCTTCTGTTTGATTTGGGGGATGATAAGGGCCCCAGCCCCAGCCAGTTTGGTTGGAGCCAGAGCCCCAATCCCTGTTGGCCATACTCATTCCCCACAGGGAAGCTGCCATCATTACTAGCATGAGTCTTCCTGAACCTGTAAAATCCATGTTGGTAATCAAGTTTTGTAACTGATCAAGTGAAAAATTAAATGCTTTTGTGAATGAAAGGACGAGTGGAATTGTTTATATAGAAGAAAGAGAATTCTGACGATGATGACCATGGTGCTAATTTGCCAAATTAAATTCACCCTTTTTCAAATGGTAGGCAGGAAATGGAAAATATGACACAAAGGTCTTCCTACAAAATCACGTTTGCCAAAGTAGTCACCCATCCACCGTGACACTTGTTCAAAATCATTTTCTTCTTTCCTTCCATTAATTCTTTGTTCAAAATCATTACCTATAATCTAAATGACATGTGCTTTATGCAGAAATATCAAATGTATAATTGAGTAAAATCTAAGACAAATGTACAAAATTTGTCCTTATTATCATGGCATTGAAGGAGACAACCATTTTTTTAAAACATTTTGTGTAATCTTGATATATATATATATATATTTTTTACGATTTATACTTGAATCTAAGAATAGATTACATTTTATCTCAACTTACAAATTATAAACTAACAGAAGCCTTAGGCTGCAAAATCAAGAAATTGAGATAAAAAGACTTATTTTAGAAGTAGAGTGTGGAGGCATGCTGGGTAATGGGTTGGTGGAGAATGGGTAAAATCTCTTTGATTAACCAAGAAAGGATGAACATAATTTGTTTGCATAAAATAAAAGTAAAATCATTTCTTTTGTCTACTCTTCTCCACTACAAATTTGCCAGTTGACCCAAAACAGATTGTGAAAGTCCAAGGGTACACACATTAACCTCACGCGGACACAACTGGTCATACGTTTATGTGATGTAATAATGACGGTTTAGCAGCAGATTCTGATTGATATTTTGTTTGTGAAACGGTAGCGTTTTGAGTTTGTGATCTGATAGTAGTAACTTTATTTGGGGAACAAGCAAATTATACAGAGCCCAAACATCAAATTAACTCACCAATAAATAAAAGGCATTAAAGTACCAAACAGGAGATACTAAACCACTCTTTCCACGCTTCAGATGGCTGGTACTGCATCCAGCAGAGTGATGAGTTCCAACAAACTAATGAACAAGAGGCGAAGTGCGTGAGTTTACAGCCGTCTGATCCATAGAAAATAACACCCTTAGTCTTATTTTTACACATGATTGTGACAATTACTCTGCAAAACAGAATGGATCCATCTTATCTTGATTCTAACCCTAAAACCATTCTTCATATGTAGAGTTATACTATTTTTCTGGAGTCACTTTCTGACCTTCAAGCACACAAATTAATATTATAGTTGTGAATTATTGTTGCTGCCGTAGCCTTCATTACAATGAAAGCCAAGTCTTTTCCCAGACAAATCCATGGTCCAACCTTGAAGGCTAAGAATTTGCTTGGCAGCTCACTTTTAACCTTTCCTTCCTTTATGATCCAACTCTCTGGTTTGAATTCATTGCAATCCTTTCCCTGTACAAATGTCATCCTTCCATATTGCACGTATGTGTTGCGCTTGAAGCAATAATCACAACAATACAAAAATAATAGATAATAATCAATAATAAAAAAATACAGGAAAAATAAAGCACACACCAAGATTTACGTGAAAAATCCTCCAATGTAGAGGGAAAAAAAAATCAAAGATCACCAGAAAAATCTTCACTATCAAATAATAGGTATACAAAGTTCTTCTCTAGCTAAAACTAGAACTAAACAACAACTAGATAAATAATTTGAGAAATCTCACAAAATAAGTGACTCAACAAATACACCATGGATTTGTTTCTAGAGAGCTTCAAACCCGATCTTCACCGTTCAGAATGTAGAACTCTGAATCATAAACCTCCTGACAAGGTTCCAACTCAATCGGACCACGGATCGACTTCCGTTCAACAAACTCTCTTTTTTCCTTTTTCTATATGCTTTTTTTGGCTTTTCTTCTTTCTTTACTTGGTTTTCGACACCCACTTAAAACAACCCCACCTCTTTTTTTATTAAGTAGCTAGGAGTCTGTGTAAAATGAAAGATCAAGGCCCATGGCCTTTACTTGGTCCAAAACCACTTACATAAGGCTGAACCTCATTTTTCTAACAATCTATCCCTCCAACCCCATTAGGAGGAGATTTATCACCATAGCAGTTTCATTTGGAACTTACCTTGGTCAGGGAACTCATTCCGGCCAAGTTACTGTAAAGTTTAAGCTTTTTCCTGAGAAGTATCTTAGTCAACATATCTGCTACATTCTTATCAGTATAAACTTTCTTTAACAGCATCTGTTATTCTTCGATCATTGAACGTAACCAATGATATCTAACATCAATGTGCTTTGTTCTAGCATGGTACATGGCATTCTTACTCAAATCTAAAGCACTTTAGCTATCACAAAATATCACATACTCTTTTTGATTCAACTCTAATTCAAGAAGAAAACGTTTCATCCAAAGCATTTATTTACATGCTTCGGTTGCTGCAATATACTCAGCTTCTGTAGTTGACAAAGCAACACACTTCTGTAACTTAGATTGCCAAGATACAGCTCTTCCTGTAAAAGTGAACAAATACTCTGAAGTAGATTTCCTACCATCAAGATCACCTGTTATGTCAGCATCAATAAATCCTTCTAGAACTAGTTGTGAAACTCCATAAGTCAAGCACATTTTTGAGGTACCCCTCAAATATCTACAAATCCATTTCACTGCTTCTTAGTGAACCTTCTCCGGATTAGAAAGAAATCTGCTCACTACACCAACTACATGAGCAATGTCAGGCCTTGTACAAACCATAGAGATACATTAAAGAATCGATTTGCAAAAGAATTAATGAAATACCGACAAAGCTTAGTTTGCCTCTTCCTTTAGACACTGGACAAGATTTCTTACTTAGATGAAAATGGTTAGCAAGTGGAATTGGCTAACTGATTGTAGTATGTTGCCATGTTGAATCTACCAAGCAATCTCGTTCAGACATATTTTTCCTGTGACAATCACAGCTTTTCAGCTCTCCTATCCCAGATAATGTTCGCATTACACAAGAATCCTATTTTGCCGAAGCCGTAAATCATTCATATCAAAAGGAATCTAGACAATTATTCTTCAACCTGGCAACCATACTATGCATCTTGTTCCTACAGATCACACATATCATTAACATTATAACCCATAGGATAATGAAGTTACCATTAGGAAATTGTTTAACATACACACAAGAATCCGTTGTTGTTCTTTTATAACTATGACTCACCATAAAAGAATCAAACTTCTTGTACCACTGTCGCGGAGCTTGTTTCAAGCCATACAAGTTTTTTTTCAATTTGTAAACTAAGTGCTCTTTCTCTTTCACTTCAAAGCCCTTAGGTTGATTCATATAAATGTCCTCATACAAATCACTATGCAAAAATACAATTTTAACATCAAGTTGCTCAAGCTCAAGATTCAAACTAGCTGTTAATCCCAGTACCACCCGAATAAAACTCATCTTTACAACTGGAGCAAAAATCTCGTCAAAATCGATGCCTGGTTTATGAGAAAAATCATTTACTACCAATCGAGTTTTGTACCTCACTAGTTTGTCACCATCTTTTTTCAACTTGAACACCATTTATTCTTTAATGGCCTCTTCCCTATTGGAAGTTTAACAAGATCATAAGTACCATTCTTTCGCAATGACTCCATCTCTTCTTTCATTACTTTTAATCAGTACTCTTTATCTGTAGTAGCCTGCACATCTTGAAAGTTTTTTGGCTCTCTTTCACTAGTAACTAAAATAAAATCTGAACTTGAATACCTGGTAGATAGCTTACGTTCTCTAGTAAATCTCCTAGACTGAGACTCTACATCATTTGATGTCAAAGGTAGCTCCTCTTGCTCAACACTCTCAGGTAGAGAGGATTGCACCCTCTGCTCAAAACTAATTGCATCTGACTTATCACCAATTGTGGCTGACTCATTCATATTCTCAAGTTCTGTTTCTTACTTATTTCCACCATCTATGGCTCTTTCCTGTGGAATCTCTATCGGTGTTGAAACATCACACTTAACAGTAACCCGTATAGTCTTCTCATTTTTTTCAAGGTTTGCTATGATTTCTTTTTCATGAAAGATCATATCTCTACTTCTGACTGTTTTTTTTACTAGATCCCATACCCTGTAACTAAATTTTTCATCATCATATTCTACAAACACACACTGTGTGGCTTTACTATCAAGTTTTGATCTCTACTCTTTCGGCACATGCATGATTGTTTTACACCCAAAAACTTTCAAGTAAGAGTATGAAGTATTTTTTTCTGTCCACACTCTTTCTGGAATGTCAAAGCCCAAAGAAACTGATGATGATCTGTTAAGTAAATAACAAGCTGTGTTAACTGCTTCACCCCAGAATGGCTTTGATAATTTTGCCATCCTCAACATACATCTAACTTTTTGCATAATGGTACGATTCATTCTTTCAACTATACCATTATGCTACGGTGTTTCAGGTTCTGTCATTTCATGCCTAATCTCATGCCTTGAATAATATTCTTCAAAGCCTTTAGATGTGTATTCCCCATCATTATCAGTTCAAATACACTTCAAGGGTAACCCTGTCATCTTTTCAACCATGGCATGAAATTTTTAAAAATACTGTAGTACCTGACTTTTGTATTTCAACATATACACCCAATTCTTAAGTGAAGCATCATCAATAAAAGTAATAAAATATCTGTTACCACCTAATGACTCAACTTTAATGGGATCACATACGTCAGAATAAATTAATTCCAATATATGTTCTTTTCTCTGAGAATTTTTACGAAAAGAAACTCTATGATGCTTACCAAACAAACAATAATCACATGAATCGAGAGACATAACTTCGATCAAGGGAATAAGAGACTGTCTTGCCAAAACTTGTAACCCCTTTTCACTCATGTGTGCCAGCCTTCTGTGTCACAAGTTTGTTGAAACATCATTTTCAACGGCATTTACCTGGTTACCATTCAATTGTATCCATGTCTTATATATTGTGCAGCATAGTTTTCCCTTTGCAACTACCATAGATCCTTTAAGAAGCTTTCACTGTCCATTCTTTTGTCGACTTTCATATCTCTCCTTATC